AAATCAAAGGACAAATAAGTAAGGATAGTATAGATGAATGTGAAATGGTTGGAGAAAATAGTGGAGTCATTGAAATTGGTGAGAGTCAAAACAGTCAAGAGTCTGAAGTTCATTATGTTCAACCAATACAACTTAAAGAAACTCATGCAACGTTACCACTTTTTAGTGTAAAAGAAAGGGATCAGAAAGGATTTAGAATAGAATGTGGTTCATTAGTAAATTCATTAATAGAAGATACAGAAAAAGTAACAAAATCACCTAAAACACCGAAAAGTATTAGAGAACTAAAAAGAGAGAAAAAAGCACAAATAACTAAACAAATACCAGAAGTTATAGATGTTGATGTTAATGGAAGTGACTCAGGAGATAGTGATGATATTAGTTTAATTAAAAAACAAGTTCAAGTAAATGAAACAGTAAAACAAAAAAATGAACAGTATAAGGAAATAAAAAGAGTTAAAATATATCGGACATTATATAGTTTAGCTAAATTTAAAGATGGAAATTGGTTAATTAGAAGAAATGTTACATTAGGAGAGAAAGATATTGGGATTTATATAAATACTGCTCCCAATAAAATGGAAATTCATGACCTTAGAAAAAGTAATGGAGAAGTAAGTCAAACATGGAATTCAAGAATAATTAAAGACCAAGCACTTGCGTTAATAAATGTATATTCTGTGAGAGATGAAGTGTACTGTGAAAGAGAATTCAAAGAATTCGTTTTTAATTTATTAGAGAGTAGTGGATTTATTGAAATATACACACTGGGTTTGGATAGAAATTTGAATGATAGTTGGGCGTTTGTATCACCATTTGATCGAATAACTGGACACAAATCACATGAAAAAATTCCAATTAATAATCCACATTTATTATGTGTATTTCCTGTACCAATTATATCAGAAAAAGATGAATATTATGTTATTTATCATAATTATATTAAAAGACGGTCAATAAATGATTATTTAGCAATACAAGTACGAATGAGATAAATATGATTTGATTTTTAAGATTAATTTAAGATTTTTTTTTAAGGAAAAAACTTAAAAAAATATAATTAAATTATTGTAATTCTATGATTTGGAAACTCCTTTTCATATTATTTTTTAATTGTTATGGATCATGTGCAGAAGATGTAATGCCTCATTCCCCATGTATTGGTAATGTGTTGGTTGCACCAATTAGTTTAAAAGATCAATTTAGTGGAGATCCAATTCAAATAACACAAGAATGTTATAAAGGTATAGTCGATAATTATGATTCAGTTGTTTTTGGTCACCAAATTCATTCTGAGTGTTATATCGAAGAGTCTTTTATGTTTTTTAGTTTAGATAATACTAACTATTCTCGATGTGGTTCTTGTGTTGAATTATCAGGTCCAGGATTAAAACCAATTACTTGTATGATTACTGGATCATTTAATGTTCAAACTACAAGTAACTCAAATTTACAAACAAAAAGAATGTTAAAAACAACACGAGTTCCATCAACTTCAATGTTTAAAGGGAAATTATCTTTGTTAGTATCAAGAGTAGTTTTCAATGAAATTATTCCAAGTGAAATGACTGATTCATTATATTATTATGAAGTTGCATTGAGAGAAACTGCATGTAATTATAATATTCTTCCACAATTAGTATTGAGAAATAAAACAAATGCTATTATCATTAATGCTGGTTACATAATTCTTGGATTAGGTCGTTCAAATAATTTAAGACTACCAAATCCAGATGGTTCTTTTACAATTTCAAATACAAAAGAACTTCGTGCAACAAATATATATCAAAGCATCATATATTGGGAAAGTATATCAATAGATAATACTGATTACCAAAAACCACAACCTGCATTTTCTAGATTTTCTTCTCCAAACATTACATCACATTGTGTTAGTGTTCCAACACGAAATGTGTTTCAATCATTACCAGACCAAAAAAATACTCAAGTTTTATGGGAAGTTAGTCTCGGAACTACTACAAATGATTTAAATGTGGTTACTTCAATAGGAAATAAAACATTTGAAGATAATGAACAATTAGTATTTCATTTTGACTATCCTGTTCCCATTCAATGGAAAACTATAATACAACATTTTGCTCTTGTTATTAATTCAACTGATACTATTTCTTTCAAAAGTGGTAAGGTATATTTCAAACAAGGATCTATTGATGAGACAAACTGTGATTCGTTTAGATATCTTATTCAAAATAAAACTATTTCTTCTGGTATTTATAAATATTCTTTCAATGTCCATGCATCGTTTGTTACATCTACTTGTAATGGTTTTGCTAATGGACTTGAGTTTATCATTTCTGCTGCAAAAGGAACAATAGTACAATATTGTGAAGTATATTATGAACCTCAAACATCTGAACTTGTCACCCCTTCTTCTTTCTGTTCATATGATTCATTCCAATGTGGAAAATATCAATGTACTTTATCTGAAAAACTATTACAACCTAATAATACCCATCTAATTTTTGAAACACCAAACTGTATTCCATATTGTGGAAAATGTCAGGTTGGATATTCATGTACTGAAGAAGGTATGTGTCAACGAAACAAATAAAAAGAAATAGTCAAATAGTAATTGAATTACTTTTAAAGGTGGATCTGAGTTTTCTGATCACAATTTAATCTGTACAATCCTTGATAATTAGCTAATGTTACATAAGCACGATCAGATATAGTAATAAGAGATGATATCGTTGAGTTCATTACACCATCAGTAATTGGAGAGTCAATAAAGAAATAGTTCTTTGGTTCACAATGAGTTCCTGAAATAGAAAATTGATAAACTATACCAATCATCTCATGACTTTCTGAACCAGCAGCAACTGCTCTTCTAGTATCGCTATGAACCCAAGCAGATGGTGCAACAGCATAAACTTCAGTTGTATCCTTCAATTCAACAACTCTCATATAAGCTCCAAATCGTTGGTAGTTTCCCCATCTTGGTAATGGGTTAATTGTTGCTCGGAAATCAAAAGTGTTACCCTCCATTCTTCTTGAAATATAAACAATTCCTCTATTAGATAAAGGATCAGAATACATTAAATAGGTATTACTAATTTCAATTGCTTTACCTAAAGCTGCTAAATTCTGTGTTGGGGATGGGACAAAAACTATATCACTAAAAGAAAATGGAAATTGTGGATTAGTTGTATCATCATCTATAGACATAATGAAAATATTTTTTGCTAATGTACTAAAATCATCCGCTCTAGTTTTAGGTGACCCAAAAGCAATTGAATTTCCATTTGCATTCATTTCAGAAAGATTTGATTCAACAAAGTTAGTTGTTATATCACTACAAAATGATTTATCGTATTTAATGTAAAGTTTTGATTCACTAAAACTAATGTATCCAAACATTACATCTCCTGTATTTCCTTTTCCGTCATCTGTAACAAATGAAATAACCATCATCAATTTATTACTTTTTGTTGATAATACTGTTATACCACGAGCGTATTGTGAAATTTTAAGTAATGTTTTACTATCAGCAGCATATTTATTAAAATTATCCCAGTTAACAGTTACTTGAAGCATACTGGTAATACCTTTTTCTGTTGGAAAGTATTGAATCTCTGTTTTCTCTTGGATTTTATCGGCAGTAAAAGTATCGCTTGTAACCTTAATTCCAACTGTTCCAAGTCCAGACTCTCCCCACCAAATAAATTTATCAGAATAACACCTAGTTGAGTTTGGATTTTTTAATGACACATACCCATAACAATATTGATCATCTTTTTTGATTTCATAAATAATACCATTATCAGCAGAAAAAACATTTGTTGGAATTTTTCCTTCGGTACCAATTGTTACTTTTTGAACAACACATAAATCCATTGTATTTTTACCAAATGTGACAATAATTAAAAAGAAGAATGTTGACAACATCATGTGAATTTTTCTAGTTTTTATATTTTTTTTTTAAAACCTTTTTTCTTGAAATAAATACCACAAAAATTATTTTTCGTTATTCATTGTTTCTTTTTAATTAAGAAATTCCTTGTCTAAGAACACAATTGACACAAGTTTTTTAAAACGATTTTTAGTAGATGGTTTTGGTATAATGTTAATTATTTTTTTTTTAAAAGAACTAAGAAAAAATAAATGAATGGTTGATAGACATAGTATGTTAATTATTGGAAAATACTTTCAAACAAAAGATGATTATATCAATGTTATGAGTGTTTGTAAGAAGTATTATGGTATTGTTGACCTTTATCACTTTAATCCATTTCCTTTATTAAGTCAAAACGATAGAACAATGTTTACATCACTTGAAACACAACATATTTATTCTTCAAATGATATAATTTATGAAGATGTTTTACGATATGTTATTCATTGTGAAGTTTCATATGACACATTCATTGGTAAAGAACCAAATGTACAGTACCTTCATGTCAAATTCACAAAAAATGATATGAAAAGATATGGATATGAGATTCCAAGAGACCCTGCAATAAAGAGTATAGGTAAAGATTGTTTTAAATCGTCATCAATAAGATTAATGACTATACCTAATAATATTTACCATATTGAAGAACAAGCATTCTTTCGTTGTAAGAGTTTAATATCAATAACACTTTCAACATCAATAAAAATACTTCCTAAACGATGTTTTGCAGAATGTGTTTCATTACAAAGAATTAAAATGAACTATCATTTAGAAAGAATAGAAGATGAATGTTTTTTAAATTGTTTAAGTCTTAATCATATCAAAATACCATCAACATTAAGTTATATAGGTTATCATTCTTTTTGTAATTGTAAGTCATTAAATAGTATGAAATTTACAAATTCAGACTTAATTCTTGGGATATCAAGTTTGGAGGGATGCGATGAATTAACTCAAGTCATTCTTCCAACTTCATTAACAATTTTACCAAAAGGATGTTTTTCACAGTGTCATCTTCTTCAGGAGATAAATGTTAACTCAATTCAAAAATATGGACCAGGATGTTTTTATGGATGTATATCTCTTCCATTTAGACTTATTCTTCCTCCAATTTCATTAAGAAAAGTATTATAAAGAAAATAAACTTTTTAGTTTAATTCTTTTCATTTCAAAAATAAAAACCAGTCAATTGTAGTTTTAAGTTATTTGTAGTAACTTGTGGGAATATCCTTCAATGAACTTGGTAATTCATCCATTTGAACAGCAAATCTTGATTGGACTTCTTTCAAAACTTTATCATCTTCTTCAGTATCAATAAATGAAATAGCAACTCCTTTAGTTCCAAATCTTCCAGCTCTTCCTACTCTGTGTAAAAATTGATCAGAATCATTAGGCATATCAAAGTTAACAACAAGATTTACTTTAGCTACATCAATTCCTCTTCCACATAAATCAGTAGAAACTAAAACTCTACTCTCTCCATCTCTAAATCGTTGATATTCTTTTTCTCTTATTTCTTGATCCATTCTACCATATAAAATACCACATGGATATCCAATTTGTTTTAATTTCTTAACAAGAACACGACATCTCTCACTATTTTCAGCAAAAACAATTGCTTGATTGAAATCAATATAATCGATAATATCCATAAATGTTTTCTTTTTATCATTATCTCCTAATTTTTTAAAGTATAAATGAAGACCATGAAGGAATAATTTTTCTCCATCATCAATAAACACTTCTAATTGATTTTTTAAATACTTTCTACAAATACCTTTATTTGTTTCTGAAATAGTAGCTGAAAACATCATTACTTGTTTTTCTTTTGGTGATGAAATAAATATTTCTCCAATTTCAATTTCACTTGTTGATCCAAGAACCTTATCACATTCGTCAATAACAAATGTATCAAGTTTACTTAAATCTAATGCTTTTTGTCTAACAAGAGATGCAATTCTACCTGGTGTACCAATTACAATAGTTGGTTTATGAGTTTTAATAAATTCAATATCTTTTTTTTCTTCAACACCTCCAACAAATGTACCTGTTGGAATTTCTTTTCCTGTTGCTTCACAAAGTCTTTTTTTCATTCTATCAAATTCTTTTTGTGCTTGTAATGCAAGTTCACGAGTATGACAAATAACTAATGCTGACACATAATCTCCAAGACAAAGTCCTTGATTTAAAATTGAAATGACAAATACAGCTGTTTTACCCATTCCAGATTTAGCTTGACATAAAATGTCTTGTTTTAATAATGCTTTAGGAATAACCTGTGATTGAACTTCAGATGGATGTTCAAATCCACAATCAGTAATAGCCATTAATATTTCTTTTTTAAGATTCATGTTACTGAATGCAACTGTTCCTACATAATTATCTTTATTTGCTGGTTCAATGTCCATTTTAGTTTCAGTAGTTGGAACATAATCTGGAATTTGATTAGTTGGATCAGTCATTAGTAACAATAAATACTGGTTTCTTTAGTTTACAAGTTCTTTTTTCTTTTTTCCTTTTTTTTTATATTATCAATATAACCCTTTTCCTATTTTTATAACCCTTTTTATTTTTCTCTTTTTTATTCTTCTTTCTTTTTATATTTTTGTTATAAATTACTTTTTTTATTGATTCTCTTTTTAACTCAAACTAGTTTTGGAAATGAACTCTTTGAAAAAAGTAGAACATACTGAAGAGACTGAGGTAAAACTTCTCAGTATAAAGAAGACTAGAATGTGTATATGTCTACTAATTGACCTTTTTTGTTTTCGCTTAAGATTATCTAAGAACAAGGAATGAAAAAGATAATCTTATATTGATACTTTCTAGAAACATAACAAATAGACTTTTTTGTTTAAATATGAAGTTCTCTAGTTATATGAATAGAACTGTAGATGTTCTTAATAAAAAAAGAAAAGAATCTATTTTATAAATAACTTAAAAACAATTATTTGCTTTGAAAGAATTATTATGAATTCAGTATTAATAACACCTACAGATATTCTAGTGAAAAAAGCACTTAGTATACTGTAAAATAATTTGGTAGAATAAATTACAAAAAATTAATTAATATCTGCAAAGTTATAAGATAATTTATTTAACAACTAAAAAGTAGTTAATTAAGTATTAATAGAACTTGTGTCTATTGTTCCTTGCTCAGGGGAGACTAATCCCGTCCCTGAGCTTAAAAGTATTTGTTCTTCAACTATCAGCTTATTCTTTGCTTTTAGTTGTTGAACTGTGAGATTTTTCTTTTCTCATTTTTAGTGTGGAATAGAGTATTTTAAACATCCCTTATTTAAATATCCATTATTTAATTTCTTTTTAATTTCGATGGGTTTAAATTTCTTCTTTATTTTCTTATTTTAAGGAGAGTATATAATTACTACTGTATTGCTATGGGCTAATATTCTTTTAGCCTCATCCACTTGACCCTTTTCTTTTGATAATCTTTCTTATATTATCAATTATACTTGTATTCTAACAAGTAATAATAACATCTTTATAAATACCCATTCGTTTATTGTCAATGATATTCTGTCATTGTACATAATAAACACTGCTATTCTTGCAGTACCGGGTAAGATGTTTTTCTAACCAAACGCAACGCCATAACCAGTCCATAACTGGGGGAATCGAAGGATGGAAATATTTTAGGGATCTGTGTGGTGTCTCTGACGTGCTACCTTCGAATCCATTTATTTAACAACTAAATAAAATAAAAAAATAAATTAACAACAATTAGAACGTTTAGTGGAATTCAAAGATGGAGAAGTTATTAAATCAATTGTTTCTGGCTCAAGTAATATTTCTATTGGTTGTGTTACCCTCTTTAAATAACAATTAATTAGAGTATCAAACAACAATGAAATATTTTTATTTGTTTTGGCTGATACCTTCAAATAAATAGAATCTGGATAAGAGGACTTAACCACTTCATCAGTTACTTTCATTTCTAAATCACATTTGTTTCCAACAAGAATAACAAGTTGATAAGCCTCTTCTTGTGATATTTCATTATACCAAAATTGAACTTTTTTGAAAGAACTTTCATTGTTAATATCAAAAACAATAAACGCAGCATCTGCATTTCGATAATAAGATCTAGCAATACTTTGGAATCGTTCTTGACCAGCTAATCAATGAAAACTAATTATTCGTGTTATAAACTTTGTTTAAATAAACAAACCAGTGTCCCATATTTGAAGTCTTATTAATTCATTATCTTTTGTAATTTCTTTAAACTTAAAATCAACTCCAACTGATGATAAATAAATATCTTCAAATGTGTTATCAATATACCGTTGAGTAATTGATGTTTTACCAACACTTGATTCACCTAACAACAAAACTTTAATATTCCTGTGTTTTTGTTTTTCATCAGCAGCCATCGTGATATTTTTATTATTTATAGTTTTTTCTCTATTTCTTTTTTTTAATTTTTTATTCTGATAATATTTTGGTTAAAACGTCATTGTATTTTCATACAGTCTTATTTATATTTTATTTTTTTTTGTAATATAAAATAGAAATTGCTCATTATAAAGTTGATTTATTAAAAAATAATTGGATTGAAATAAAACAAATAATAAAAATAGAACTCTTTTTTTAAGAATAGATAAATTCTTAAACCTTCTCCTCATATTCTTAAAGTTCTTCGTAAGTCTCTTATTTCTAGCTTTTTAATGATTATGTTTTTACTACTATAGCTTTTTATTGTATTTAACCTTTTTGATTTATCAAAATTAAACTAAATGATATTGTCTGATGAAAATAATTCACCAAAATTAATTTTTCAGAAAAAACATAGAGTACAATATCGTTTTTTATTCTTTATATTTTAAATATAGTAATCATATATCTAATTATTTTACTTTTTTTTCTACTTTTAAATAGAATAATTCTGTTCGGATTTGGTTTTGAATATAACAAACATTTATTATTTAAAATAGAAGAAGGAATATTAACACTTTACTTTTTATCTCTCAATCTTTTA